GGGGGATAAAGTTTGTACCTTAGTATAAAGTTCAAGGACTGATCTTGATGATGTTTGATGAGTTGAATTTGTATACATATTAATGTAGAATTGTTACTTTGATATTATTGATATTTGGATGAGTTTTATGAGATTTTACATTATTTTCATTTTTTGAGCAGAAAAAGACTTGATTGTATAAAATAGGAGTTTTCGAGATTAATTGAACATCTTTTGAAAGTTTAGGGACTGAATTGCAAGAAGGAGGGCGCTCTTTGGGACTTCAATGAATGAATCTTGAGGTTTGAGATCTAAGTGCTCATCTTACAAAAGCTGGAGGACTAGATCTGCTATTTTACCATTAAAGAAATTGCAAAGAAAGACTGAAACCTCGACACGGATGTAGTGTTGACACATAAACGGGGTGTCGACACCATGTGTTAAGCGTCCAGAATCAAACTTTTTGTTTTCTATTTTGTATCGACACGTAATTCAGGATATTAACACCATGCGTTCAGCATCCAAATCTCAACTTTCCTATTCTGCTTTAAATCGTATTTTTATTCCAATTAAGGTTTTTCAAAATTTTATAAATACTCATCCAAATTTAAAATTAAAAAAGTTTGGTGGAGGCCGGTAGCAGCGCTATTTTGGACATTCTTGAAAATCAAGAGAGAAAATTCAATAATAAGAGATCAACAATTGCAATTTTCTCAAATTGGGTTTTATACTTCCTTGTTATTTTTATGTTCATAACTATTATTTTAGATTTTGTTATTTTTATTATGAACTGACTTATTCTACTAGGGTTATGATGTAACCTAATCAATTCAATATAAATTTTGTGATTTTATACTTTCAATTAAAGTTATTCGTATGAGGAGTTTATATTATTGAACTTAATGCATTGGAAGTCTGATCATCTTTTAAATGATCTAGTGATTTTTGCATGAACTTGAGAAATAATTGCGTAAATTAGACCAATAATAAATATAAATCGCGTGCTACACTATGAGACCGAGAGGTAATTAGCTCACATGTGGTAGTGGAGAAAGAAAAGAGAATTAGGAGCTTCCTTTTCTTAAACTAGTGGTTTCCATAAAATTTAATACTCATTAGTTTGTTTAAAATTACATAAATATATGATTAATTTAACAAATAAGTTAAGAATTAACTCGACTTGAGAAAGCTAGTTAATTAATTTAGAGAAATCCGTCATCACATGCAGTAACACTCAACAAATTAGCATATTAATCCAGAATTTATAGTGATTGATTATAGTGAAATCAATACCCTAGTACCTTATATTTTGATCAGTTTGATTTTAATTGTTATTTTTTATTATTTTTTTAATTGAACTTTCTTCATTTTCTACTGTTCAAATAAATTTGGATTAATTATTTTGCTATTTAGTTAAATACAATTCTCGTGGATTTGACACTCTTCTCATCATTATATTACTTGGAGCGACTAATACACTTGTTAGGGTGATTTTAATGCATCAATGTTGAGTTATTCCTTTCCTTTAAAAACAAGTAAGAGAAATGATAAATAAGTGGTAGCA